GTTTCAACAGAACACCCAGGCACAACAACCTCGCAACGTTGTTTCATTTTACTTGAAACACAGCAGCAACTAACACCATCATAATAATCTTTACGAGACCTTGATCACAAAAATAGATGCTGCATCTTTAATCCATTTCCTTGATATTTACCTTGCTGCTTAATGCTCCTTGATGATCTGCAATAAGCCTTTATCATCATTCCTTTGCACTTCCCTCAACGCTTTGTAACAAGTGCATCCTTGATTCATTTCTCTTGGGTTTTAACTTAAGACTTCAGCTCCTCTGATGATCCAACCTGAGATCCCTTGATTACCTCAATACTGTCAACATCTCATCTGTTTCACCACAGAAGATGTTCCCTAACAGACCTTGATCATCACAACAAGAGCTTCCAAAATTCACAAGAATCTCAACCCTTTCCACTGAGACTGAATTTTCACACAACATTTTCCCTCAAATCTGAGCTATAACTTGAAAACTTCAAAGTTAACAGCTTGTTTTCCTCAAACTGATTTCCCATCTTGTTTCATATTCATCTGCAATTTTCTTGTTCTTGAATCTCAAAACTGACCAGAACAACCATCAACTCACAAATTCTTAACTCCTAGGGCGTCCCCTATTTCCAAGAATATATGAGCTTGAACATTTACCGTATCAGACCTTAACAAACCGATTAACCCAAGCAAAAGACAACTGAAACCAGTACTGAAAATTTGCCTAATCCTTGCTAATGGTCAACATACAAACTCATGTTCTGTCAAACTTAGATTCTTCTTACTCAGCAGATCAATAACAACCCAAAACAACCTAACACATCATCACAAAATTACCTTGTGATTGCAGCGGATACATGATGAGAAAACTTCAAGATTTGAGCTTCTAGAGAATCTACTATTGGATTCTGATCTTTATCACCCCGAGTTACATACCAGAACTCACAACTTTCAGAAACACGAATCCAAATATCACGGTGGAAAACTCCACCTTTCACCATTCTCCATCCAGTTTAATAACCATATCAAAATGTACCAACTTTGATCAACTGTTACTACTTCAATCTATGGATATATTCATTCTTGTGATTTCATCATCTTCAACCAATTCAACTTTTCACCAAATCGAATTAAAACCAAGACAACCTTATGAATCAATCTCGCTTTCTTTCTTCAAGAAAAGAAAGTCACCTTCTCCAAGGAGCTTCATCGGCATAACACACTTTCTCCCCGTGATTTCAGAGACACCGGTCCAGCATAGTTTTTGATACTTCCCTTCTTCTTGTGGAACCTAAAATCACTTTAACCAGCAAGATTTTCCACCGTCGACCTCATTCCGTCGATTCCCGATGGAGACCTACTGAGCTTGTGACTTCATCTTCTCGATGGCCAGAGACCGCCGTCGACCTCCACCTAAGACTCGTCTCTCTCGATGTTGATTTCAGAAGTAATTTCAACCATTGTCACTGAATTTTCCCGTGGTTCCTTCTGGCAAAAATCACACCTATTCCGCCACCATCATCTTCTGCGATAGCCACAGAACCTTGAATCTGGCAAAAATCACACCTATTCCGCCTCCATCATCTTCTGCGATAGCCATAGAACCTTGAATCTCCTTCGTCTCTGATATTGAAAACATATGAGATTCCGACAAACTGCTTAAACGCAAGCTTTGCCTCTGTCGACTCCATAACTCCTTTTACCAGCAAGTTTCTTCACCGCTTCTCAGACCTTAAGATAAATCGGCGAAGAAGAAGACTCTCTGTCTCTCTGTGCTGATTTTCCCAAATCAGATTCATTGCACACGTGACCATAGCTTCCACATAACCTTGAAACCCTCTGTTTCACATAGAGGCTTAACATGCCACGAGTTTTCTTCTTTCCTTTATCTCATATTTGGCTCAATCTCTTGGCCCATATGATTTACCAAAGAGCCCAAATAAATTAAGAAGCCCATATCAAAAGAAGATCGAAGCAAAACATATCCCAAAATTCCACAGTTTGCTTCATCTCTTTCCCGATCGAAAGAACTAAAACTCCGTTATGAGTCAATGCAATATCTCTGAACCTCCGGTGACTTCAATCAATAACCAGTTACCACCTTCTTCCAATTTTCAGAAACGACATCATCGTTTTCAGCAAAACTTCTCCTTGACCTTCTTCTCGATAATTTCATTAAAAGATGCCACACAAGATCAACTGGTGATCTCTCCGCGATGTTGCTGTCGAATCCGTGAATAAAAAAAGCCTCAGCTCTGATACCACTTGTTAAGGATTTAACGCCTAAATCCTATCCCAAACTATTTGTTCGATTCACATATATGAAAACACACAAAGCAATTGAAACAACGAACACCACAAATGTTCACCCTGAGTTCACCGAAGCTACGTCTCAGGGGTGGAGACTCTCCTCCACAACTGCATCCACTATGAAGATCGGAAAATACCTCCGATGTGGTTTACACAAGAAAATCATTCACTCTCTCTATCTCCGGTTAAACAATCCGAGAGAGTACAAGGAGAAACAAGGAAGAAGAAAGAGTATGAGCAAAGCTTAGATACAGAGAAAACACCATCTCTCTTTCTCTAGCTCTATCTTGCTCTACGAGCCGCCGTGGAGGCGCTCGGAATCCTCCGGAATCAGGATTAGGTTTTCCTTGTGCCACACTCTTGTATTTATAGCTAGGAACCCTAGAAGCCTTATGTGATGGGCCATACCACAGCTTGAGCCCAACATGATGTCAAGGCTAGTAGTAAGCCCATTTGCTGGTCCAAGTCGTGAGTGACTGAAGTCCGACTTCTCACAGAAAATGTCGGGAACAATGGATTGCAGAGACGAAAGGAGATCCAAGTGAGCGTCGTGTTGGGTTCGAATTCGATTCTCCAATCGAGCTCTCATGTCTTTGACGACGGTAATGGTAGCGTCATCGTTCCGATCTGATTCAGTTTCCATGGCTCCGACTAATTTACTTTTCAGATCTCTTATCCTATATCTCTTTCAATCGATTATTGCTTCAATTCTTCAAAACTCATGGCTCGATTTCTGGTGGGAGGAGAGGAATCGAAGAACGAATTGAAGGCGGCAGTGGCGGAGGATGACGACGAACGTGAAGAGATCTAAAGAAAAGAGGAAGAGCAGAGGAGGAAGAAGGACTC